TACCTATTCTACTGAAACTGTTCCAAAAAACAGAAATGGAAGGAAAACTTCCAAACTCATTTATGAGGCCAGCATTACCTTGATCCCAAAATCAGACAAAGACCCCATCAAAAAGGAGAATTACAGACCAATATCCCTGATGAACATGGATGCAAAAATTCTCACCAAAATACTAGCCAACAGGATCCAACGTACATTCAAAGGATTATTCACCATGACCAAGTGGGATTTATTCCTGGGCTGCAAGGTTGGTTCAACATCCGCAAATCAATCAACGTGATACAAAACATTAACAAAAGAAAGAACAAGAATCATATGATCCTCTCAATAGATGCAGAAAAAGCATTTGACAAAGTACAGCATCCTTTCTTGATCAAAACTCTTCAGAGTATAGGGATAGAGGGTACATACCTCAATATCATAAAAGCCATCTATGAAAAACCTACAGCGAATATCATTCTCAATAGGGAAAAACTGAGAGCTTTCCCCCTAAGGTCAGGAACGCGGCAGGGATGTCCACTATCACCACTGCTATTCAACATAGTATTAGAAGTCCTAGCCACAGCAATCAGACAACAAAATGAAATAAAAGGCAACCGAAAAGGCAAAGAAGAAGTTAAACTCTCACTCTTTGCAGATGATATGATACTTTATATGGAAAACCAAAGACTCCACCCCAAAACTGCTAGAACTCATATAGGAATTCAGTAAAGTGGCAGGATATAAAATCAATGCACAGAAATCAATGGCATTCCTATACACCAACAAGACAGAAGAAAGAGAAATTAAGTTGATCCCTTTTACAATTGCACCCAAAACCATAAGATACCTAGGAATCAATCTAACCAAAGAGGCAAAAGAGGGGGAGACGAACCATGAGAGACTGTGGACTCTGAGAAACAAACTGAGGGTTCTAGAGGGGTGGGGTGTGGGGGGATGGGTTAGCCTGGTGATGGGTATTAAAGAGGGCACGTATTGACTGGAGCACTGGGTGTTATATGCAAACAATGAACCATGAACACTACATCAAATAGATAGATAGATAGACAAATAGATTATAAAATACAGTTTCCAAGACATGGTAAGGACTCAATAAATGAACTCAATTAAAAAAAAAAAAAAAAGAATTACATTCAATAACATAACAATAACAGAGTTGAGATGGCATAACAGTTCACTAAAATCCTCTCCACCTAAATTCTTTTTAGGAGAACAGTGCTTAAGAGATTTTCTAGTTGGTCTCCTCTTTTAAGGAAAAAGAAGGGAATCGGGGGGGGGGGGGAGACAGGCGGCAGCAGCATGAGACCGAGAAGAAAATATTTTTTGAGTATTTAACAGGTGCTAGGTACTTTACAGGTTTAATTCTTTTAAACTTTAGGATTTACTTTCTCACAAGTTTATCATTTTTTTTAAACAGATAAGGAAACTGAGGCTAAAAACAAAACAATAAAAAAACACTGCATAATTCATCTGAAGTCACAGAGCTAGCAAGTGGCAGAGAGGTCTGAGAACCTGTGTTTCACTCTAAATTCTGTATTCTTTCTAGTTCACCATGACAGCACTGAAATACAGATCTTATATGTAACAGGTAACGAAGTTTCACCCATAGTAACAGTTTTCTTCCCAAAATTATAGAATTTAAAAAAAAAAAAGAATCCTCCAACAATTCCACTGATTGTTGATTTTAAGTTAACAGTTTTAAAACTAGACTAGGACCTTCCTGAACTTCCAGGACTAACCTCTTTCATTACAGTTTATGACACTGAAGTCTAGAGAGATTAAGTGCCATCCTAAAAGTCACACAGCTTCTTAATAGCTGAACTGGAGCCAGAATCAAGCTCCTCTACTCTTTCAATTATCCCTCAGAGCTACAGCCTTACCTAAGGGCTTCTCTCCTTTTCTAACTTGAAAAGTAATTCTTAAAATCAAAACTAAAATTAAAAATATTCTTGACCTTTAACAAGTTCAAACTACAAGGGTCTGAACTAAAAGGTAGAACCTAAGAATAACTGATAATCATGTAAATTTTTAAAGCCCTCTGTCAAAGTGAACTATAAATCTTCTACTGTAACTCAACATACTACATTTTCTCAAGAAACTTCTATCATTAACCAGCCCATTTCGTCACATTTGCTCAGAATCATCAATATAAAAATACTACAGATACCCTGGCTAAGGTAGATCCTAGTATTTGTTTTCAAAGTTTAATGCAAAGTAAAAATTAAATTCAAAGGAAAACAAATTTACTACCAGCCAAAAGTAAAAGCTTTTTTATTCTATAAGCACATATGTACCGAGAGATGGTAGAAAATGGCCTTTATTTACAGTGAGAAGTCATTCACTGAGAAGTCATGTATTCATTCATGAAACAATCACTGAAACAGGGCATTGGAGTACCAATTATTCATTAGCAGAGGGGTGTTCATTTGCCTCTGCTGTAAAACACGGCCCCTAAATTCTTTCAGCACACCTCCCATGGAGAGGTGTGTCCACGCCCACTCGCCTAGAATCTGGGCTCTGTAACTGCCTGCCCAACACAACACTGCAAAAGTGACACGGTGCCAATTTCCAGGTCCAGGACTTAAGAAACCGGCAGTTTCCAGTTCCCATATGTTGGGACACTCACTCTTAGAGGAAACTACGGTCACCACAACTTGCCAGTCATACGAGTGAACCATCTTGAAAGTCCCCAACCCCTGGGTGAATCACATCAGCCAATGCTGAGTGCAGCCAAGATAAAATGCCCCAAGCCCTGCCCCAACTGCAGCTCTGTGAGCAAAATAAAAGACTTTATAAAAAGACTATGTTTTGGGGTGTCATAATAATAAATGAACACCAGCATTTTCAAATGTATCTAAAGCCACAGAAAGAAATTAACTGATCAGAATTTGTTTTGTTGGAGTGAGGGGGAAGTACAGGAAAATGTATAACTAGAGATGAGAAATCAATTCTTAGCTCTGTTCTTCCAATTTAATTAATATTAACCTTTCTATGCCTGAATTTCTCCATCTGTAACATGGAAGTAATGACTACTACACCTTAGAGTTATGAGAAATAAATGGTAGGTAGTATTTGTAAAGTATCTAGAACAGGTCCCACTACATAGTAAGTAGTGAGTGTATTTTTTAAATCTTTTTGATGACCATCCACATAGCATTAATAAACACTTAGCGTGTCCCTTGTTGTTACAGAGCCCAAACCAATGAGGCCAGTGGTCACCGTCTGAATCCCTTACTCTAAGCACAATGCCTGATAACCGCTCAATAAATACGTGATCAGCTCAGTTTTATACAATTTACAAAAGCTCTGGGGTGCTTGGGTGGCTCAGTCAGTAAAGTGTCCGACTCTTGATCTCAGCTCAGGTATTGATCTTGGGGTCATGAGTTCAAGCCCTGCATTGGGCTCCATGCTGGGAGTAGAGCCTACTTTAAAAAAAAAAAAAAAAGCTTAATAACTTTACAGTTTACTTGGAAAAGAAAGGCGTATCTACTTTTGAATGAAAATCAAACTATATAATAAACAAGAGAAAGATTACTTTTTTGAAAAATAAAGTACAAGTTAATTGAAGGTTTAAGAGAAAAAAAAATTCATTTTTTTCCTGACTTTTATGTATTTACGTGGAGAGGCCTTTATGTGGAGACTCTTCACAGGATATGATCTTATAAAATATCATGAATCTATGGAAAGCTCACACGGATCAGAAGAGAGGTTTCTCTCACCAGATCTGGATGACTATATTCTCTTTGAATATTCTCTTTGCATATGCCCAATAAAATTGATTTCCAAATTAATGACAAATATAAAAACATATTCAAAGAGTAAAGAAGCTTTTCTACCAAATGGTAGCATTTCTCTAAAAAATTTTAACAGGAAAGACTTCAAAATGCTCGTTCTATTTTACAATGAAAGCAAAGACAATGTCAACATCAGAGATAATAGTTAGGTGCTGCTCCCAAGATTCTGGTCTCTATTCTGATTCTAGAAATCTGTTGGGAACATAATAATGAAACAAATATTACCTTAATCTATCATATTATTTGAAAACTTGGCCTTTTTAAAATAAACTGGCCCAATGTTTAACAATTCATTCTCTTAATTTTCTTAATTTAAACTCAAAAATGAGAAAGAGTTTATGGTCAAGCTTAGAACAATTCTTCTGTAAATACTGGTAAGAGTTCACCGTGGTAGAAACTAATCATGACTATTAGAAAAGCAAAAAATACATACTATAAATCCAAGTATGTGCCAAATTCTAAAAAATGACTTCAATGATATACCGCATAAAACATGAACTTTTAAAAGATGCTGAGACATTACATTGCAAGGACTTCCTAAACTCCACTTAGAGAGGTATACTCTTTTAGGAAAGGTAGGATAAGACACCACCTACTGTGAGGGGGCAGGGGGCCCAAGAATAGGGGAAGAGAAAAACTAACTGAACTTGGTGCTTTGATCTGCTTACCTACCAGTCTACATTACCAAGTTAAATCTTTTATAAATCCCAATTCATAGAAGAAAAAACCAGGACCAGAGGCTGAGAAGCTTGCCTAAGATATAGTTAATGAATAACTAGACTAGACTATGCTAGAGAAGGGATTTCACACCAAAGAGTAAAAATCAGAGAGAATTCTGTGCTACCATTTCAAAGATACAACACTGTGCTCCTTCTAGAATTACCAGTAACGAAGTTAGGGTGAACCCCTTAATAGTATTTCCCCCATTGTCGGGGAGAAAAAAGGTAATTATCAGGCCAGATATAAAGGCATTGTCCAAGGACCTGGCTAAGCTGCTCCCAGCTCTCTAGGGGACTTTAAGTCACATTTTCAATTCCTCTATAGGTCTTCAATTCCTCAGGTCTCGCTCTATAGAACTGGACTTGCAATACCTCTTGCTATATGAATCAGATGTCAACACTGGCTGTATATGCCAAAGCTCTCTGATCAAAAATCAAAAAGATCATTGCTAGTGTTATCTCATCCCTATAAGTTGAATTTACTTACGCATTAGGCTGTAAATGTGCTTTTCTGCAACATGTTCCGTAAACAGCTTTATAAGGTCATCTTTTAGGTCTCTGTTAAGCTTGGTTTCGATGTAAAACTTATTCTGAAAAAGAAAATAGTTTTTTAGTGCCTCAGTTAGGGGGAAATGATTTGTCTAATGAGCTGAAGCACCAAAAAATAAATTATTTTAGGAAACAATTAATAAAAGTATCAATTAAAACAAAAACCCAACATCAAAAAACAAAAGCCCTGCTACTATTAGTTATTTGTCTTTCTGGCATGGAGTTAAAGCACATAAAGACAAAATGTTATGAACTATACACCTCCAAAAGAACACAGGAAGACATTAACATTAACTAAACAGAGAGGTAGAGACAAATGGACCACACTGTGTGACAGACACATAATACTCCCTTTAAAAATACTGTATCACCATCAAAAGGCAACAACAGGCAACACTAATAAAAGGTACCCCATTTATCAATGATCTAGGCTGAAAGCAGGCAGTGGACATGTACTGGCTGACTCCCCAACATACAATCCACTTCACTGATTACTCTGTTATTCAGCTTATGGCATTCTTAGGAATGGTCTTTGGTTCAAAGGCTGACACGTGACCCCACATAGAGCAATCAGATTGAGAGAAGCCTAGGCTTCAGTGCAAGTATCTTATAACTCATCTTATGACCACGAGAACAAGATGAAACAGATGCTATTGTACATCAAGGAGACAAGAAAGAACCTGAGTCCCTGGTAACACTATTGAACCACGGGATTCAACCAACCCTAGAGACTGCCGCATTTGCTTAGTTTTATTACAAGAGATTAATACTTTTCCTTATTTACTTAAGTCACTTTGAATCAGGTGTTCTGTTTTTCTGTAGCCAAAAGCATCATGATTAGAATGACTGGCAAGTCAAACAAGACCGAATTTGTTCATGTTTAAATGTTAACTCAATGTATAGGTGTGGAAAATAAAAACAGGAATGTTAACAAGTTGCTCACTGATTCTCTTAATTCTTAAACAGAACATTATGAAAATTATAAAAATAACATGTACACATGGTAACAAAACCATGCAATAAAAACCAGTCTCCCAGAGCAGACCCTCTGTTGCATTCCCAAAGGCCCCATTCAAATGGGAAAACTTTGTATGTTCTTTCTAAAATGCTCCTTGCATATATATGGATATATATATCTGGATATGCTTTTTTTCCTAATTAAAAAAAAAAAAAACACTTGCTCTGAAGAAATAACAAATACTGTTTTGCATTTTGCTTTTTCACATAATGTATCTGGAGATTTCTCTCTAAATGTACAGATATGTCATTACCTTTGACTACTTGTTTTTTTACTGTAAATATCTCCCCACAAATTAATTAACAGTCCTCTGCTGATAATACAGATTCCTCTCAATGTTCTGTTTTGTTTTTTTTCAGTGAAGTATATTTTATGGAGAATAAATCATTTTGAAGATTAGTATTCCACATATAGCAATCTTTATGCTACAGAACGTAGGATCAACCCAAACATCCCATTGTCTAATCTAATAAAGAGGAATTGGGATAATGGTTGCTAACGGCCCCTGCCTTCAATAGGTACACCAACATTAAGATTTTATGATTTTATATATTTAGGAGAGAGAAGGGGCTAATCAACAAAGTCCAGAGACTACAAATTATACTCATGGCATAATTCTCCAAATGAAAGAGATCACATCACCATAATGGAAGAAAATTTTATTATTCTACTTTTTTTATGGAATGACTTACTTGGGGATTTATCATATGTCATGTTTTTAGATAGATGGCTTAACTCTCTACTTTCTGAGGACAAGAAATCTTTCTTATATATCTTTATTTTCCAAGCACAGTATCTTCCATATGGCAAAAATAAAATAAATGCTGAGTACTGATTATTAATGCCTAATTGTCTATTCAGCAGTGTTATTTACGGAATTTTTAAACAGTAATAAAAGGGTAAACAATTCTATGTCAATACAATCAAACATTACTAAAATAGATTAACTTCCATTTCTAACATAATACATAGCAAAAGATAAACAGAACATGCTTAACTGCATCTATCTGTACTTAGACCAATAAATGGAGATATTTGGAAAGGGAAAACAGCTCTAACTTACCATATATATGAAAAGAGGCACAATGCTCTGCAATGCTCCCATATACTGTCCAAGAGCTATATTAAATCTTTCAATATAGAGATCTGGAGGGCTGGCCTGTGAGAAAGAACATTAAATGTGATCGTTCTTGGAAACCAAGTTAAAGACCTTTCATCCACCACAATCTAAAGTGCAAACAGACTCAGAAGTCCAAGTCAAAATTCATTCTTTCAAAGACTTTATTTATTTGAGAGAAAGAGAGAGAGAACACGTGATGGGGAGGGACAGAGGGAGAGAGAGAGAGAGAAGCAGACTCCCCGCTGAGCAGGAAGCCCAATGCAGGGCCTGATCCCAGGACCCAGAGATCATGACCTGAGCTGAAGGCAGAACTTAACCGACTGAGCCACCCAAGCACCCCCCAAGTCAAAATTCATATTGAAATTTACAGTAAAGAAAAGGAGAAGACTTATACCCTGAAGGTTAGTTAAGACTTCTATCTTTGTTCCAAAATCTGCTATGCAAAACAGAGGTTTGGTTTAGCTGTCTTTAAAAACTGTAACTTTACCATGTTAGCTAAAAAGGCTTGCTCAGTTAATGAGTAAAAAGTTGCATTCACAAGTTGTGTTTATTAAGATAAATGAGTTTAAAAATTATCACTCAACTATGTGGACATTTCCTATAGGAACCAAACCATATTTGAGCCTAGAAGAAGAAGAAAGAGAGAAAAAATTCAGGAAATGGTACAGGTTTAACATACTATTAAAATGGTTGTTGAATTTTTATAATTACCCTAGGCACAGTAATATTCTGACTTTTCTACCAACTTGGCTATAAACCACTTCTATAGCTAACCAATCAGCTACAAAGCAGAGACTTAAATGGTCCATATACATCTGCAGCTCTGGAGAGTAATACATGCCTGGCTTTTAACTCATTGTTACCAAAACACCAAATCATAAAGCCATCAAAAGAAATACTTTCAATTTTACTGCATGTTATGGGCTAAATTATGTGTCCCCCTTCCCAAATTCATATGTTGAAGCCCAAACCAGTGTGGCTGTATGTGGAGTAAGAAAGCAATTAGGCTAAATAATAAATAAGGTCATAAGAGTGGAGCCCTGATCCTTTAGGATTAGTGTCATAAGAAAAGACACCAGGCAGCTCGCTCTCCCTTCCCCTCTCTTCCTGTCTCTTTTCCTCTATCCTATCTCACCCCCCAGCACACTCGGAAGAAAGGCCATGTGAGCATACAGCAAGCCCATAGCTATCCACAAGCCAGGAAGAGAATTCTCATCAGAAACCAAATCAGCCTTAATCTTAGCCCCAGCCTCAAGAACAGGGAGAAGTAAATTTCTGTAGTTTAAACCACCCAAAGCCTGTAGCATTTTGTTATGGCAGCCCCAGCGGACTAAGGCATTATGAAAGTATATCCATCCACTGTTTAATTTTATTCTCTAAAGCTAAATTAATTAGGTACCATTTTAATACTGAAGAAACACACAAATGGGCAAGTCACTTGTCTAAAATTAGAGTGTTAAAAGAGGACACATCCAGGTCTCCCAGGTAAGAATTCATTCCAGGGCCAGAGAGTTGGGGAGAGGGGATGGCACAAATCGTCATGCAAACAGAAGTGACTCGAACCACTGGCAGTCTCACTACTGGACAACCATACCCTGGGTACAGAAAGTCTTGCTTTCAAACAAGGAAAACAAGGAAATGCCACACTGAAAGATTCCAAAATATTAAATTTAAACAATGAAATTTAAAAACCACTTCAGCTAAGCTGTTTTAGAAATGTCCAAATGTTCCAATACTATTTTTAAAATAAGATTTCATTTCTATTTTTTTCAGGTCTACTTAGATGTTAGAACATGTGTAGTGAACTGTCCTTACTTCTAGTTCATCCTCCATGATTGCATATTTAGAGATTTGGCACACACTAGGTCCTTTTTTTACATTTATTTTTCTTACTCTTCCTAATTACCTGCAAACTGGTATGAATGTCACTGCCATTCTACATATGAGGTCACTAGGGCTCAGAGTCACTTATCTACAGTCCCCCACTAAGCCCAAGAACGAAGACTCAAACCTCAGTCAATCTGAGTCCTTCCATCGATTTACATTACATCCCTCTTTTAGCACGCTGTACCTTAGAAAACTTTAGGGCATGCAGTCTCTCTGCTTTCATATCCTATTCTTCTCACACGCAGCCCAGCACAGTACTCCCACGGCATGACTAACTCTTCAGCGTGCTGCTTTAGACCTCCTCGAATCTTTTCTTCCTGAATGCCTTTATCACCACCCCTAATCAGTCGCCCTGGCTAACTTCTATTCACTCTTCAAGATATGTGTCACTTCCTCAAAACTGTTGGAGACAGGGGCGCCTGGGTGCCTCAGTTGGTTAAGCGACTGCCTTCGGCTCAGGTCATGATCCCAGGGTCCTGGGATCAAGCCCCACTTTGGGCTCCTTGCTCAGCAGGGAGTCTGCTTCTCCCTCTCCCTCTGCTGCTCCCCCTGCTTGTGCTCTCGCGCTCTCTCTCTCTCTGTTAAATAAATAAATAAAATCTTAAAAAAAAAACAAAAAACCTGTCGGAGACATTCTGCCCTCATATAGAGCACCATCCCACTTCTTCACTTTTCCCACTAGGTGGCCTCTGCCACTAAACTTCAAGCCCCTGGAGGGAAAGACCTGTGTCTTGTCTTTATATACCTCCACAGCTCACCACAAAACCTGGAAGACAGCATGCAGAGACAAATGCGTTTTTTTGCAAGGAAAGTGTTGCTTAAATCTAAATTTGCTTAAATCTAAATCTAACCTAGCCTTGTTTCCATCTAAACTGCTTTCTTACTATCTAACAAGGTTGTATTGACATTAAGCAAGTCATTTAGCCCTCTGAATTTCAATTTCCATAACTATAAAATAGGGAAAATACTAATTGTGCTACTTCCAAGATGTGCCAACAATCAAAGAAAATAATAAGTGTATGCTTTGAAAAATGTCAGACGTTATAAATGCACATGCAACTACTGAGTACTGAGGGTAAATAAACTCTTATGAATTAACTATTTGTCTAATACTTCAGAAAAACCTATTAACATTATTAAAGGCATTCTTTGTTAACTAAAGAAACGGGAAAATGGTTCTACATTATGGGCAAACTTTTAACTATAACTAATGGGCAGAATCACATGTAATACCTCTTTCTACACTTGATCTTAGCCAAAAGACCGAGAAGCAATGTAATACCTCTTTCTAAACTGCTGCAAAGAACCCTGGAAATGATATTTCAGCATTCAAAGAAATAAATTATAGAAGTATTATATGAGAAAAAGAAAATCTGAAGAGTTTTTGCATTAAAATAATTTTCCCTTTTCATAAAAGGACACTTTATCTATTCAAAAGTTAAAAGTATGAACATTGATCAAAAGGCACACTTAATAGCAGAGAGAATAAATAAAACTGAATTCCTTAGTTATTCTTTTCAAGAATTTCCAAAGCTTCCAAGGTTATGAGTATTAAAAAGCACTTTTTGTACTAAATCAAATGTCAGAACATTTATTTAGCTTTTTAGTTCCACATTTCATGCTGCACTTATTAAACCTTTTAAATGACAGGACTATAAATTATAACAGTCTTCTAAAATAAATCCAATCTCTTTACAAGGAACCAGAAATAACTGCCATTAAAAAAAATAACAAACTGTTCCTCCTTAAAACTTAAGTTCAGTATACCTTGGGCCCCACTGGGGGAATTGCTACCTGTTTGATTTACATTATTTCAATATGAATGTATTTGGCTTAGACATTAAATGAAAAATTTTACCCTAAAACAAGCAAGTTAGAAAAGAAAGAAAGAAAGAAAGAAAGAAGGAAAGAAAAACAGAAAAACAGAAAAAGCAAGCTGCCAGAAAAATAACTATTGCTCCAAACTTGCTCTAACTTTTCATAACAGAGCTAGATTCACTGAAATTTGTAACATATCTGGTAGGAATGCTTCAATTTCTTCTGCCCTTTTTTTTTTTTTTTAAATGAGCAATGCATTCATCTGGTTTAAAATTCAAATGCATTCAAAAGGAAATAAACAGTTTACCTTTATTTCCTCCTCGCTGAACCAACACTTAATTCCTTTTTATCCTTCCAGAAGAATTTTACATACATACATGAAAATAAGTATCCCATTTATATCCTCTTACACACAAATGCCTACATAAAACCACACCAATTTGTACTTTTCCTAACAACATATCTTGGGAGACTTTTATTCTAGTGGTTCTAAAACATTTTGGTCTCAGGACCTCTTTACATTCTTAAAAATAACTGAAGATTCCAAAAAGCTTTTATTATATGGGTTATATTTATCAATATTTATTACCATATTAGAAATCAAAACTGGGTTTTAAAAATATGTATTAATTTATTCTAAAATGACAATAATAAAGTCTATATTTTAACATTTAATGATAAAATAATTATATATTTAATATTATAAACTAGTGGACGCCTGGGTGGCTCAGTTGGTTAAGCGACTGCCTTCGGCTCAGGTCATGATCCTGGAGTCCCAGGATCGAGTCCCACATTGGGCTCCCTGCTCAGCAGGGGGTCTGCTTCTCCCTCTGCCCTCTTCCCTCTCGTGCTCTCTGTCTCTCATTCTCTCTCTCTCAAATAAATAAATAAAATCTTTAAAAATATATATATATTATAAACTAGTTACATGTAAATAACTATTTTCCCAAAAAAGATAAGAAAAATGGCATTGTATCCACATTTATGCAAGTCTCCTTAGCTTCTGCCTTAATAGAAGACTGATAGATTCTCATTCTGCTGCTATATGGAATCAGTTGTGGTATGTTGTTTTGGTTGAAGTAAATGAACAGATATGCAGGCAGAAAAGGCAGGCATATTTTAATATCCTTTTCAGATAATTGTGGATATTTTTCTTTGAAACTTGATGAGTTTCTTAAAGGTTCAGATTTCAGGAAATCTGAAACTATCAATGAACTCTCTGTACTCTATTACATTAAAACCCATTGGTCTATCTTCTACTTTGAATGGATCTTTTAATACATTTTATAACATCAGAAATTGGTCATTTGTAAAATACTGAGTTACATAAGTCT